AGGCAGCGGCCGCGGCTCCGCTCCAGACACCCCGCTCGCTCCCTTTCCGGAGCCAGCGCGCTACACCCACGGCTGTTGACAGCTGCAGCAGTCAAGTGGCAGAAAAGAGACACTTCACAGACCTTAAATTCGTGTCCTTGCAACTGAGGCGGTGCACCAGGGACAGCGCTCCGGAGCTCAGTCAGACATCCTGCTTTCTAAACTAATACCTCGAGGCAGAAACGACGGCAAAAACCAACTGCCCTGTCCTTTCCAGCCGTTTGGGAGCTGCGCAGAGACAGACAACGTTTAAATAACTTGGAATTAACCCAGAGAGACAAGTCTCATGGGGGACGCACAGTTCGACTTTGCAGGCACCGCCTCCTCTCACAGGCGCTGCATATATATTTCTTAACCCATATGCTCTCTTACGTGACATCTGCTCCTGCTGCCGTGGCGTGACCCAAGCCTGAGTGCTTTGAACTCAACACAACAAATTACCCACAGTAATGCGCCGCGAAAGCGTGATAGGCAAAGCCCCGGATACTGCTAACTTCACCGCCCTGCTGCGCTGCTGCCCTGCACTATGTTTTGCAAGTGCATCCTGCAGAGCAGTCTTAACATCACCCTGCCACGGCCCCCGCACGTAAGCGGCTGAATTTGCTAGCAATTTCACTTCTTAAGAGAAGAGAACTAGGTTAATATTGAAGAATTTTACAAATTTCCTTCTTTTCCGCTTCACACCGTGTTTTCCCCAGTCACGTGTCTCTGATCCCACTCACCATGAGATGAGGCTATCTGGTTTCAGCAAAGCTAATTTTGGTTAACTAAGAGAAACAGCCAGCTGGATGCACGGAGCAAGAATTGCAATTCAAATGCAGGGGAGAGAATAAAAATGAAGGTTCCTAAGAGGAGAGACAAGAGACTGCTCCTCCCAAAGAAAAAACTGCCTGGCACGACCAGATCTGGGTCAGCTTGACCAGATCCAGGACAGCTTGGGGATGGCTCCCGGGCGGCACGCTGCGGCAAACAGGCATGCCTGGTGTGAACGCAGGCGTCCCAGGTGAGCAAAACTCCCACACGGCAGAGCCTACAAGAGAACGAGGTGAGCTGGTCATAAATTTTCAAAGAGGCACCAAAAAGAAGCAGGCCTCGTGGTGCACAAGGAGCAGAGAAGAACGAAATTCAGAGGTCTTCAAAATGAGCTATACTTTAAAAAAATTCCTTCTATAATTCATAATTTTAACAAACCAGACACACTTGTGCGTCCGGTACACCTTTGTGGGGTGTGATCTAACTCATACCGACCAATAACGCAACAAAGAAAACAAAGCTTTAATTCCTGACCATGTACCAGTAACTGTGATGATGGGTCTGAATATTAAGCATCAGGCACTGTGGGTGAAAAGGTCTCAAGGGCATTTGCCATTCAACTTCTCGACTTACTGACAATTATGCCTAGAAAAGTCAAGGAAAGTGGGTAGGTATCAAGAGGCAGGAATGAAAACAAGAGCGAGAAGACAGAAGATGGAAAATCCGGATGGACAATTTCCAATAATCTCCTGCCACCTTCAAAAAGCTCGGCCTTAGCGCTCTCATGCCGCACACAAGTACTATTGGTGGCCTGCCTCAGAAGGAATCTCCAAGTACTTAGAAAACAAGACGGCTAATTCGGGATGCAACAAACACATGAAGAGCTCTGCAGCTGAATTTTATCCTTTCATTTCACTTGCGCATGCATCTTCTCTCCAACTACTTTAATTGTATTTAGATGTGAGTGGTCTGCATCACACTGATCAAAAAGAATCACAGCAAACATATCATAAATGGGGAGAAAGTCTAATGGCGTCTGACAGGAATCATGTTAGCTTCCATCTTATTTTA